TAATGTAATGATGTCAAATGGTTTCAAAATCAATAAATGTGATAAATGTGCCTATGTAAGAGACATAGAAAAGGAATATGTTATTTTTTGCCTATACATAGATGATATGCTCATTATTGGTAATAATAATGAAGTGATAAAGTCTACCAAGAAAATGTTGAATTCTAAGTTTGACATGAAAGATATGAGAGTAGCAGATGTTATGCTTGGAATAAAAATTACAAAAACATCTGACGGACATACCTTGTCTTAAGGCTATTATGTTGACAAAATACTTGAGAAATGTATTAAGCATGATGACCGTTTTGCCAAGACCCCTGTAGATGCAAATCTTCATTTAATGAAAAATATGGGTGAAAATATATCACAATTAGATTACACCTGGATCATCGGAAGCTTAATGTACCTCATGAACTGTGCACATCTGAATTTAGCATATGCAGTTAGCAAACTGAGTAGGTACACAAGCAATTTTGGGAAAGACCACTGGACAACAATAGTAAGGGTACTTCGATATCTAAAGTATACCCGTGACTATGGTTTGAACTATACGAGATATCCAGCAGTATTAGAAGGTTATAATGACGCTAATTGGATATCAGATACTAAAGACTCTAAGTCTACTAGTGGCTATGTCTTTACCTTGGAAGGTGTAATAGTCTCATGGAAGTCTTCCAAACAGACATGCATTGTAAGATCCACAATGGAGTCCGAGTTTATCGTGTTAGATAAAATAGGAAAGGAAGCAGAGTGGCTTCATCACTTTCTAGCGGACATTCCAATGTGGCAAAAACCTATGCTAGCCATTTGCATCCATTGTGATAGTCAAGCAGCCATAGCAAGAGCACAAAATAATATGTATAGCAGTAAGTCTCATCACATTCGATGTAGACTCAATACCATTAAGTAATTTCTCTCAAATGGAGTTATCTCCATTTAGTACATAAGGTCAAATGATAATATAGTGGATCTGTTAACTAAAGGTTTGACCAGAGAGCAACATTTCAAATCACTGAGGGGAATGTGATTAAAACCTATTAATTACGAGTCGCCCTAATGGAAACCCAACTTAGCTGACTGGAGATCCCAAGATCTAGTTTTAAAGGGACAACCAAATTAGGTGTGACTCACTAGTATCACTAAAAGAAAATTCTCCTACCCTTTCCTATGATGACAGAGTCATGTCTACAGCGACAATCAAGTTAAGCTTGGCGATATTCATATCTTGGAAATCGAAGTGCTGTGTAGCAGAATACTCTAAATGAAAATCATATATATGAGTGTGAACTGGGTCGGTTCTATGAGAATTAGAAAGGCTAAATTCTCTAGAGTACCCATGAAGATCAGGAATTGTCCAGGGCCAAAATGGGCACAACTGATAGAACCATTTTGTGTATAGGAACAAAACTATGTGGCATGCTATTGTCTCAGTTTACACCAACGGAAGAATAGTTCAAGACATCATGTTCACCAATCAGCCAGTAAACTATACACCTAAAAAAATAATCAACCAATAAACCCGATAGTCTTTTATAAAGGAAGGTTCAAGGGCATAAGCTACCTATCCTACGCAGGATATTTTCAATTTTGTACTCTCAATGTCTGCATGTCGTTGCAAGTTCGTTTGTTAATTTCATTCATGTAGGAGATTGTTAGAAATTATTTTATAACCATTAATTTTTCGAAAACTTTAAGCATTAATTTATGTAAGACTCACACATTATTTTTTGTGGGTCTGAGTGGCAACATATTCCTTGTCGTGTTGTGAACAAGATTATATACTTGGATGATCAAAACCATTTCCGAGTTAATGAGAAATTGATGTCAAAGTGAGCCTCATAAACATTGAATATGTTTGGAGGGGTTCTTGTTAGTTGGCATAAAAGTCTTGTCCCAGATAGGAAACAAAGAAGGATTTTTATACGTTTATAAGCTCTAAGTTGGACACTTTGGGACAGGCCCAAAGGGCACCTAAGTTTTGTAAAGAGGGGAGTTATAGACCATTATAGGTTGGACCCAGATAAACACACGTGTGCGCGCCACACTAAACTGAACCGGGCACAGGTGTGTAGTACTGGTTGGGTCGACCCATTGCTTATCCTTTTGCACCAAAATTGATTGAAATTTTCAAATAATTTTTTGTTGGAAAAATTTGAATTTTGAAATTTCGAATTCAAATTTTCCAGTCACCTCTATTCTCTGACTGGTCGCGTTTCTTCAGCTGCAACCGTTCATCGTGACTTTCTGCTATTCTGAAAGAGGCACTTAGCTGCCTATATAAAGCAGTCCTCTATTCCAATTTCAATATCGAATTTTCTATGTCCTCAACCCTTCATCCTATGCTCATCCTCTTGCATTTGTGTTTGGTTTTTTTTAGAGTTCATGAGCATCACATTGTTCGATGTACAAATAGTACGTTGTGCTACTATTATTTGGGGTGATTGTTTTATCTTGGAGACAGAACATCCATTGATCTTGAGCACCATTGGAGAGGACAAATTTCTATCTTAAAGACATAGAGTATGTTTGGTTTGGTTTTGGGAGAGTAGTTTTTAAAAATTATTTTGGGGAGAGAGTTTTGAAATTTTTTTGGTTTGTTTGGTTGTGTATTTTGAAAGTAGTTTTAGAGTTTGGGAGTTTGGAATGATTTGATATTTTGTTATAATTGAGTAGATGTGTGTGAGAGAAAAAGTGATTGAGAATGAGAGAGGAGAGAGAAAAAATGATTGATTGATAGGTAAGAGAGAAAGTGATTTTGAAAATTGTTTGGGAAAATTTACAAACCAAACAAATTTTTTAGAAATTTTTTCCCAAAATCACTTTAGAAATCCAAACCAAACATACCCACAGTGTCCATGCACTAGCCTCAATCACAAATTTTGTTATGAGTGATTTATCTCAAAATTTGTAAGTTATTCACCTCTATGTTTATTATTTTCTTAAATTAATTATTATCAGAGAAATATTTTCCAACAATGAGTACTTTTATTGTGCTCTCATTACAGGAAAAACTATCTTTACCGACGTTTCAAAAACGCCACTATAAGTGGTAAAAGCGCCCCCAAAAGTCTATACCGGCATTTTTACATTACGTCACTGATGCAACCGTTACCATAGGTATAAGGTGTTTTATAAATGTCGCTGATACTTATAGTGACGTTTTCATAAACGCCTATCTATTATTAAATTTGTTAAAATAATTTTGTCAAAGCTAACTAATGACGTCACATGATATAGTGGCGTTTTGAATAGAAACGCCATCTTTTTACTTTATTTCGTACTTTAATTAGTATAAAATATGCTCTGAGTTGGTTATTTACATTCCATTCACATTCCAATTTGCACAAAACCACAAAGCACATCATAATAGAAAATAAAAATAAAAGTTGACAAAACCATCAAATTCGATATTTTATAGAAAACAATTAAACTGTACATGTTCATAAAAGTATATTTAAGTTATAAAATTCACCCCAATCTTTAACAAAAACAAATCTAAAATTCATCAATCAGCACACTTGGATATTTAAATGCTCTTACCAAAAAGAAAATAATTTCTAACAAGATTTCAATTTTGGGACTATTACAAAAATCAAGCTGCAAATTCCTCTTACATCTAGAATCAAATGTTTCCCACAGCAAAATTATCCTTTTGGCCTACACAAACAAATAATAGTTGCAAATTATAATCCTTTTGAAGAAAATCTAAAGCAAAGCAATAAATACCATCAAAAGCATGAAGAGAAAAAAGCTAATACATAAATCACCATAATAAGATCTTTAAGGTAAGTTTCATCAATCGACATTTAGATAATCAAACACCAAAAAATCACCATGAACTTTCTTTATTACCCATACTTCTTTCCATTACATGGTAACTAATATATACTCAAAAAACACTACAATAATTTACACTTTTGGACCAAATTAGTCGCCAAAAATGTCACTTTTGATCATTAAAAAATGTATTAGTCAGCGTTGGTTTAGGGTATAGCTACTAAATTGTTTTAGTCGAGATATATTAGTTATTGGCGGCTGAAAAATGTATTTGTCGCCGTTAGTCTATATTTTAGGTTGCTAATTTTCTTTTTAGTCGTCGCATAATAGTTTTTGGCGACAAAAGAAAATTTAGTTGCCAAATAACGGTGATATTTTTTTGGTTATTCTTTGGTGACCAAACAATTTTGTCAAAAAAATGTTAAGTTTTGGTGACTAAAAAAAATATTAGTCGTCGTATATTCATTTTTTTTTACAAAAGAAAATTTAGTTGCCAAATAACGGTGATATTTTTTTGGTTATTCTTTGGTGACCAAACAATTTTGTCAAAAAAATGTTAAGTTTTGGTGACTAAAAAAAATATTAGTCGTCGTATATTCATTTTTTTTTATCAAAAATAATTAGTCGCCAAATTTATACTTTTGATTGAGCTTTGGCTACCAAAATTTTTAATCGTTATATATCAATATTTTGTGACAAAAAACTAATTTAGTCGATAAATGTTGAATTTGTTTAGAGGAAATCTATATAATAAAGGAGAAGGGTATTTGAAAATGTCTAATTTATGTTAGAGATACATTTTGATCTAATGGCTTAAATTGTCTCAACTCAACTTCAATGGTTGAGATGTATTTATTTCCCGCTCAAATGCTCTTTGAGCATCAACGGTACTCATCTCCTCTCTGTCTCATTTCAATTTTGAACTCTCTCTCTCTCTCTCTCTCTCTCTCTCTTTACCTGCATCGGAGCCCATCTCCTCTCTCTCTCTCTCTCATTTCAATTTTGCTAGAGTTTAATTAGGGGATGATTCGATTTTATCTCTCTCTCTAACAACCCCCAAACCGGAGATGGGCGGAACTTTATGAATCCGAATGCTCTGGACCGAAGATGGGCGAAACTTTATGAATCCGAATGCTCTAGAGTTTAATCAGGGGATGATTCGATTTTGCCGCTAAGTTCGCCTTCTTCCCTCCAAGCCCTCCATCTTACACTCTGATCACCAACCGATTCTACATACCGGAGGTCCCTAGGACGGACGACGTCGACTTTTTGAGGCTTCGGACTCGACGAGGCAACGAAATCGTGGCCGTCCATATCAAGCATCCTAAGACCACTGCTACTCTTCTCTACTCCCACGGTAATGCCGCTGATTTAGGTCAGATGTTCGAGCTCTTCATTGAGATGAGCCTCCGTCTTCGCATCAATCTCATGGGGTAATCGTCATTATTTACTCTTCATTTCTTTTCTCTCTTTTTTTATTTATATTATTTATTATTTTCAGCTCTGAACTTTGATTTTTTACCCCCTTCATTTGTTTGCTTTAATTTGCTTATTTGTATTTAAGAATTTAGGAACTTTGTGGGTTTTGCTTTATTTGTTGAGTTGGCTATATGAGGAAAATGGGTTTGTGTTTTAAATTTCAGAATCTAATGAGTTAGATTAGAACAATAAGGGACTTCAACTTGATAATTAGGACCGTTTTCTGTTTGGTTACTGTGTAGTGTGCGCTAAATACATGTTTTTTTATTATAAAAAAAATGAATATAATTGGTATCCACTTTAATTTGAATGGATTTGATTTGATCTTTCAAATAGAGTTTGACATCAACAGTGAATTACCGCATTTCTTACGTTGCAATCCTTTTCTATTTTTACAATTGGATGCGGTCAAACCAAAATGTGTACTGCCTTGCTGACATAGACTAATTTCAAGTTTCAACTTCTTCAGCAGATGACTATCCTCCTATTCAAGATTAGAGGGGATTTTTTTAACATTGCAACAATGTGTGAAAAGTTACTTGGATGATTCGATTTTCAGGGGGTGTTCTAAGAAGCCCTTAATGTATAAATAGCTATTTCAACCCCTTTGTAAGGTTTTCACATACCATTCCTCATAAGGTTCTCCAAAATCTTGACTATTTTTTTTTTTTGTAAGGTTTTCTTTGTGTGTATATATATTGATATATTAATTACATATTTTTTTTTTGTTTTTTTTGTTTGAAATTGAAGAGTTGTTTGCACAGATTTTTCTTTGTTTTTTTTCTTTGATTTTGAATAATTAATAACTGTTGATTTGTTGATTACGGTTTGATTTTTCTTTGATTTTGAATAATTAATAACTGTTGATTACGGTTTGATATGTGGAAATTTGGGGAAATTTTCAAGAATTGAAAACTGTTTTCATTCACCACCTTAAGAGAAAAACTTCATTACAACGATTATACAAATAGAAACTAATTTTTAAAAATCAGCCACTCTTTATTTATTACCAAATACCTATAAGTATAATAGTCTGATATGAATCATGATTATTTGTTTTTTTTTAAGCCTTATTTTTTGTCCTCTTACATTTTATTATTATTCATATGGTTGTCAATATCAGCAAAAGTGCATGAAAAAAAAAAGATCATATGAATTCATCTAATATTCATCAACTCCTAATTTTTTCATTGTTCAGCCACAAGGATCATATTTTTCTCTTTTTTTTTCTTGAGTATTGTTTTTCTTTAATTTTGGGTGTACTTTAATGGGTTTTGTTAATTTTGGGTGCACTTTACTTTACTTTAATTTTGTGCAACTATTGTATTAAGTTACTCTATTGAATGGTTGTTACCAAAATGTTCGAAACCCATTCTTGGTATCTTCTCTCACATTGATTTAGTAGGAATTATTGGAAAGAAGAAGAATGTTCTGCAGTGTTTATTCTTACACAGAGAATTATTGGAAATAAGAAGAATGTTTCTTTGTTTAGCCACAGAGAACATTTCTGAGTGTTTATTCTTACTTGGACATGCATGTTGTTTATTCTTAATATTTGATATTTTTCTTTTATACTATCTATTTTCTGTTTTTAACCTGATGCATATGGATAGGTAGATGGAACTTACATAATATCGAAAATTTGGTTCACAAAGTATGTACACTAGCTCGGGACTCCACAGAATAACATGAAAAAAGCTGCTTGAGGGCATCAAGTTTGCAGTGCCTTTGATAGTTCAATTTATTTTTCATGGTCCAATTTAGTGATCCAATTTTGTAAAAGAATTCCTTCACTATATCCTTCGATTAAAACTGCATTTTCTACTTTATTTGTCTATTGTTTCCTTTCTATTTTTAGAAAAATAGACTTGCTAGATGTAATTCTATTTAATGATTAGCTTTTTCCCCTTGCAGGTGTGGTTTATGGCAGGGTTTTCACACGTTTTTTTGTTGATTTTTATGAGGTCAGTCATTTTTTTCCCTGCATTACTTAAAGCTATCTATTGGCTTGCTGAACTCTATAGGATTTCTGAGAATCATTGTGGAGTTTCTGAGAATAGTCAATTAAATTTTTTACAAATTTTACTTCAACAAGGTAAAACTTAGTTACAATGGATTAGTTTTATTTGGTAAATTACTTTTATAAGTTTTATTGCACAAAAACAACAAAACAAGGCATACCCCATAGCAAACAAAGAAACAACAGTCTCAAAGAACCTTAAAAGCAATCAAGACAAGAACACGAGTAGAAACCATCTAATCAAAGCAATAAAGACAAACAGAACCTTAAAAGAAATTCCTATAGGTTACAATCATGCCTATTCATTCCTCCAAAAAAATTTGGAGTTTCTTTCAATCCAAACATGATATATAGAGGCAACAAACAATAATGTTCCCAAATGGGCCTTCATATTTGTTGTGTGTTATGCAACAAAGATGAGGAGAATCACTATCATATAATTTTATGCAACAAATGGGCCTTCCTACTATGTTTCAATGGTATCTTCTCTCATATTTTTGTTTTCGGTTTAATTTTGTGGAGAAATGGGAATCATCCCAATAATTTTTTAACTTGCTTTTGGATAATGGGAATCATCCAACTACCAATATTATTCTTCTGGGTCTGTGATCTGTTATTTTTTTGCAATTTTTCTATGTGGGTTTTCTAAGTTTAGGCTTAAGTTACAATGATGTTGTATATATTTTTTCTTTGTTAGGAATAGACATCATTTCTTTACTTGCATTTAGCTGAACCTTTTAGATTCACTTTTCTAAATTCTATACCTTTTAGATTCACTTTTCTAACACCTATAAATTCAATTTTGATATAGAATTGTTGGTTTTCTTCTTAAACATTTCCTTTGGTCAGGTAACTAATTGCAAATTTTGCTAGAAAGTTGTGGTGGTTGTTTTTTATGGTCAAATTTTGGATGTACTGTAAAATGCCTCAATTAAAATAGTTTACTTTCTTATATAATTATACTTTTTTGTTGTTCAAATAGTGAGTGAATCTATCAAGCCAAGTAAATGACTAAACAACCTTTCCTACAAAGAGTTTGATTAACCATGCTTGAATGCACTTAGTGCTGGTAATGTGAATTTCCTAATTGATCAAAGTTATCTTATAGTTTATTCTACATCCCCCCCCCCCACACACACACACAAATAGTGACTGAATCCATCATAGTTTATTTTCTACATTCCCCCCAAATAGTGAATGATACATGCCTTGGATATTTGGTAAGCTTAACAAAAATATAGGTATATTCAAATTGGTGAATCAATCAATGGGAGTTGGATCTTATTTTTAATAATAAACAGTGGGCAATTTTTACGGAGTTGATTTTAGATAATGGATAATAGAGCTTGCTTGCTTATATTTTTTATTTTTCCTTTTGTTTCAGGTACATATGCCTTGGCTTGAAGGTGTGTTTGATTAGCTCATAAAAAGTTATGGCTTTGTTTGCTACAATGGTTAATTAGGTAATTTGTCAATAATTTGTTGCTTATCTATTGTTTAACTTGGCTTCATTATACATGTTGTGAAAATTAAGAATCTTAAATTTTTACTAGCTAGGCTTCATTTTATATGTTGGCTATCTTTTGGATTATTAGCTAGATGTAGAGATGGTAGAGAAGCTAGAACCAAGAAGAGCGAGTAATTGATTTTTTTATGCTAATAATTTGGGTCTTCTATTTTAATTTTTGAATTTCATACTATTTTGATGATAATCATTGTGATAATTTTTATTGTAATTTTAAAAATTAGCATTGTTTAGAATGCCTTTATGTTTGATTTTATTGTTTTTCAAAAACAAGATGTTTTAGTTTGTTTTGATTAGACTTGAAAAATTCAAGTTAGACAATGAATGGAAGTGTTGTGTGGGTCTATTAGTGAATGTTTTAAGAAATGGAGAGCAATGGCACAACGGCCCATTTAACAAGTGAGCCTTTTTTTTTCTTCACAATTTTAGAAGTTTATTTATTAAGTTTCTTTTTATTGGAATTTTTCTTCTTGATAGGTGATTTTGGGGGTGGAAGAGAAATTTAGATTATATTGATTCAATAGAATAACTTTGCCTATTACTTTTTTCACACCCTATAACTCTACCAGTGCTTATAATCAATTAAAATTTTAATTTTAAGACTTAGACACTGTAGGCATAATTGTATATTCATTTTAAAATATATCTGACAAAAAAATGTGGTTATAATAAATTAAATTTTTGATTGGATGGGTTAGAGTCAATTTTTTTCTTCTTCTTCCCTTTACTCCTGTGACTCTTACCTCAATATATTTTTGTTTCATTGGGTGAAAATCGTATGTTATTTTTTACAGGAGCTAAGCCTATTCTTTCCCTTTTCTTTCTTTCTTTCTTTTTTTTTTTCTTCTTTTCCTCTCTTTTTTTTATTTTACTTTCAGAGTGAGGATTGTAAGTTCTGATAAAAAATAAAACAAATTATGCTTTTAGCTTTGCCAGTTAAACAATGCTGAGATTAGGTCAATGAGGTTTAGAAAGAATTTGTAAAAAAAAAAAAAACAGTAAAGAGGTCTAGAGTAACAAAAGTCAGTTTTAAGCCAATTGGCCGTTTTGATTTTTCTTAAAATATTTGGTTTTGGAACTACATTAATTCAATAGACTATCTATGTTATTAGTTAGTCATCTTGGAGTAATGAGCGATGGCATAAACTTACTTTATGCTTGAAGCAGTTTAAACCTACTTTATACTTTTAATTAGATGATTATGCATAATGGTACCTCATAAGTGAAGAAGAAGGTGGTTTCACTTTCAACCCTTAATGTTTGTTTTCAACTATTCACTTCTGTATTTATTTTATTTTATTTTATTTGTGTTAAAAAAATAAAGTTATCTGAAAATGATTCTGTAGAAAAAGATCCTGTACAAACATTATGGTACTTTGATTAATTGTTTTATTTCTTTTGTTTTGATTGCTATCTATATAATAAGACGAGGGATTTTGAAAATGTCTTAAAATGTATGTGAGATACATTTTGATCCAATGGCTGAGATCAATCCTAAAAATATATTAAGGGTGCATATCAATTTGATTCCCACTCAAACCTTCTCTGCCCTCTCCCACCTACCCACGTCTCCTTCCCCATTCCATCTTTTTCTCTTCTCTGTTTCTGAACAACAAGATAGAGCTCCATATATGGATAAGCACTGAGAACAACAATATACAGAATCTTTTGGGATTGAAACATTTACATATTATATATATTAAACCCTACCACTCGCTGCCTCTCCCCCTCTCCCTCACCCGATCTCTGCCTTTCCTCCTCTCCCCCCACCCTCCAGCTCGCTGCCTCTCCCCATCCGCCCGATCTCTGTCTCTCCCCGTCTCCCCAGGTTTTTGTTTTTATTTTTTTTGTTTTTTTTATCCACAGATTCTTTCTCTGTCTCGGAGATTTATTGCTTCAACGATCCTCTGCCAGAGATGTTCAGTGGGTCTTTCTAGAATCAGCCAAGAATTCAATCTCAAATGCGTCTTCATTCTGATTTTCAGCCTCTTTGTGTTCCTCCCTGTCATATTTTGGTTTCTTCCTTTTCACTCATCGTTTTCTGGGTTTGATGCAAAATACGCAATCAAGCAGTGGTAAGCCATTTTTTCTACTTTGTTTTCTGTCTCCTCAAACTGTAGTGTAGTGTTGGTCTATAATTATTCGGGCTGTGTTCTGATGATTTCAGTAAAGGGGAATTGCTCACAATCTTTTTTTGTAATGGAATTAAGGTCTATAATGGTTAAATTAATGTTTTTGAGTTGTGTATAGTATTCTTAGTTTTGGTGTTGTGGTTAATTTCAAATGTTAATTTGGGATAACAATGTGGTACAAGGAAATGCGGTTAGTTTCAGATTTTATTATCAGAAAACATTTTGGGAACATGTTTTGCAAGAATATATATAAAAGAATATCAGAAAACAATATCAGAAAACATTTTACTGTATTCACAAGAATATATATAAAAGCTTTTCAAGGGGAGAGAAAAAACAGAGAGAGAAAGAGATCAAGAATTCAAGATCTTTGAAAATATTGTTTGATCTTTAATTAGTTTCTATGATTGTTTGACATGCATACAAAATATTGTTTGAAAATATTTTTTGGCTCACAGATCAAAATCGGAGAAACACGATGTGGCGAAGCAGCTTCGTCGAGACCCCTATGAAGTTCTCGGCATCTCAAGGAACTCCACAGATCAGGAAATCAAAAGCGCTTATCGAAAAATGGCTCTCAAGTACCTTCTTCCCCCCTCTATTTTCTAATGATTGGTTTGGTTTTGTATTCAAAGTTGAAATTTTTGTCTATGTTAGGAATTTTTTTTTTTGTTATGACATTGCATAGATCAGTGTTGAGAATTATTTAACAATTTTTTAGATATTCACATTGTAGCTGATTTTGAAATGTTGGCACATTTTCAAATTTGGTTTTCCCTCTTTTTGGAAAGAGAAGAAACTTTGAAGGATGAATTTACAATACTAACCTGTATCGTTTGACATTGTTTTGGTTTCCAAATGAAGAGCAAAGTCGCCCTTTTTTTTTTTATTGGGATAAATAATAAGAACAAATTTTATTTGGGTCAGTTGGGTTTTTTTGTTTGTTTCCTTGGGTCCTAGATGATGCAAAAACTTGAGATTTGAATTTTTTTTCCCTTACCCCTTTTGATAACAACTAAATGGAATCTAGATGGAAAATGAACAATAACACAGCATTAGGGATTTGGTGTCATGGTGGCTGTTCATTGTAGTAACCTTCAATTTGTTGAATCTGTCTGTCTTTGTTCAATGTCTAGATTAAGTTTTGTTTCTAGAAGTCAAAAAAGATTATAGACAAATATAAATGCCCAAGCGATGTTGTGTTCTATTCAGTTATCTGCTCATAATATCAAGTATCAATTCTGGGTTTTTCAAGTAGCAAACCAATTGACCCGAAAATTCTTGGTGGAAACAAAGAAATCGGTTCAACAAGCCAGCAAAATTGGGTATGTGATGGGGTTCAGACACAGTTGTGGGTCAGATAGCAATGGTCGTGCAGGATGATTATGGGTGTGGTGGAATGATGCAGTGGAAGTATTGCCAACTTATAGGTCTGCGAATATAATTGCTTTGCAGATTCAAGATGATATTAGAGTAGTTTGGTTCATTGTTTTTTTGTATGGCCATCCATCAGTTTCAAGAAGAGGAGAGGTGTGGTGTCAAGTGGAAAGCCAAATCAATAGGTTCCAGCATCTATTTATTATTATAGGGGACTTCAATCATGCGGAGAAATTAAGTCTGTCAGGTTGACCCATTCAGGGAGCTAAGGAGTTTGATAATTTGATTTTCAGAAACCAAATGGTGGATCTGCCAAGTAAAGGAGTTCGGTATACCTGTTGCAACAATCGGTGGAATTCAGCTGCAGTGTATGAACCGTTGAATAGGGCTTTAGCTTCTTTGAGTTGGTGGAAGCTTTTAAATGATGTTCACTAATTACTTTACCAATTCAACGTTCGGATCATAGCCCTCTATTGCTTGGTACTGATTGGAGTAATTTAAAGGGTCCGAAGTGGAATAGATTTGAAGCAACATGGTTAAGGGAGGAGACCACACAGCAGATTGTCAAGAAGGTGTGGAGGTGGTCTGCACAGGGGTATAATCGATTCTCAATAATTTAGGAACAAGAGGTTTTGATGAGACACTTGAAGAATTGGCATTCTTTATCATTCCGAAGTATTCAAGGACAAATAGATGATACTCAAAGTCAGTTACAACGCGTTCAATCTTTTCTTCATCAATCTGGGCAGCCTGAAAAAGAGATGGAGTTGAGACAACAATTGGATGGCCTTTTGGAGAAACACGAATTGTATTGGCTACAGCGATCGAAACAAATGTGGATGAAGCTTGGAGATAGAAATAACAGATTTTTTTCATCAAATGGCTCCTTGGAGGAGAATTAGAAATCATATTTCTTTTCTTAAAGATGAAGAAGATCATGTTGTTACAGAACCACAGGCCATTCAGAGAACTTTCATACTACATTTTCAAAAGCTTTTTTCACAAACAAAGGGCCGAATGGGAGTTCTTCGGACACAGGTTTTTTCCCTAACCATTTTAATATTTTAAATGTATTTCATTGTATGTTAAATGCGCAACATATTCACATGTTAGAATAGCCTTTTTCACTGGATGAAATTAAGAAGGTGGTTTTTCAAATGGGTAAACTTAAGGCGCTGGGACCCGATGGGTTTATACTGGGTTTTTATTAACATTTTTGCGGGAAAGTGGGTCCGTCGGTTGTTGAATTTGTGCTTAGTTTTCTTAATTCAGGGATCTTAAAAAGGAGAGGAGTTGCTGTAAATCTTCGATGTGCTAGGTGTAATCATAGTGATGAGACATTAGAATATGTGTTTTTTTATTGTCACTGGGCACAAAGGGTGTGGAGAGGATCAACGTTGGGGCTTGATTTTAGTAGTGGAACACCGGTGGCTTTCTTTCAATGGTTCAAAGAATGGATGGAACAAGTAAAGGATGATGACATTATCATCAAATCTGTAGCAATTCTCTGGGCCATTTGGATACAAAGGAATAATGTGGTGTTCAATGAATTTGTTCCATCTATTGAACACACAATTGAGGAAGCAAAGAACCTGTCAATGATGGTTATTAATAACAAACATAATGAAACACCTATGAACACAGAAAATGTGTTAGAAGTAGGGAAAAAAATTTGTTCAATGTCTAGATTAAGTTTTGTTTCTAGAAGTCAAAAAAGATTATAGACAAATATAAATGCAAAAAAGATTGTAACTCATTAAGTATTTTCTATTCGTGACACTTAATTACAGGAATTAATTTAGGAAAAATTGCAAATTAGTGGTAAGACCAAAAAAAATTGCAAAATCATGGGAAACTTTATCACTTAAATTATTAAAGTTGATAAGTTTTACTATTGATTTGCAATTTTCCTATTAATTTTTTGATTTTATTATCGATTTTGCTATCAATGGTTTTATTTCGAAAAGTGGAGAGATGAGTTGACTTTTTGCTATTCGTTTTAAATTCTCAAAAGATGTACAAGTGATTTAGAAAAAAACATTTGGCTGCTATGTATGGTTGCTACTTTTTGTAAGGTTGTTATTTTTTGTACAAGTGATTTAATATTTTTCATGGATGTACAAGTGATTTAGTATTTTCATGGACGTACAAGTGATTTAGTATTGCTCAAAAAATGTACAAGTGATTTAGTATTAATCAAAAAATATTGTTAATTACTCAATGACTCAATGTTTAGCTTTATATTGAACTGCCTAGGTATATTAGTTGTTTCTCAACTTAATTAGTTATATCTGAAAGTTTTCATAATATTTGTAGGTTTTTGGTTGATATCAGGTTGTGTTGGGAGTACATTTTTCCTAGATTTTTCTCACGTAGTTTCAGGTTTATAATTTGCAAAGAACTATTACAATGTGATTTGCAGCAGTAGCACCAGCAAGTGTACATTGCTTGGTATTTTAATTAATTTTTTTAGATAGCAGAGCATTGGTTGGTGTGCATTTCAATTTTAATTTTCTTAGATTGCAGAGCAATAGCTAGTGTGCGTTGGTTGGTATTTAATTTTAATTTGTTTTTTTTTTTTGAATTGCAAAATACTGGCTGGTGTGCATTGTTTGGTGTAATTTTTTTTGAATTATGGAGTGTTAACAAATGTACAATACTTTGGTTTGTATGTTTTGTTTTGTCTTTACAATTTTTTATTAACTTGCATAGCAAGGGTGCTTTTATTTTTATATGTTTGCATTGATATGAAATTTATACTTTAGAGTCATAAAGTTTTGTTAATAAAAATGAAATGCTTATGATTGCGTTATTTGCCGTAGTTTAAATAGTTGATTGGGAAATATTTATTTTCAAAATATACAACTAAAAATATTTTCAAACTTTTTCAATATAAAATCTTTTCAAAACTAACTAGATCTTCATTTATATTTTGACTTCAAACTTTTAACAACAAATGGAATAAATTACCTTTTAACTCAATAATTTTATATTTAATTATATTTTGATCTCATCATTATTTGCACCGTGACTTTAGGCACGGACATACACTAGTCACTAAATATTGGCACTCGCCCCTGTTCTCTGTTTATACACGACAATTTGTTCAAACCTCTTACATAGATTCTCCTTCACCATCAAACCTTACCCTACCTCACCTCACCTCACCTCACTGCAAACCATTGCCACCGGCGTAGATCACCATAGCCACTGCCACCGCTGTAGATCGTCATTGTCGTCAATGATCCTCCTCCGTCCTCCGCTGGTGCCTCTCTCTCTCTCTCCCTCCTAAACACCTACTGCACCACCTCGGCTCATCCTCCTTCTCCTCCGCTGGTAACTCCGTTGGATCCAAGAAGATTGTCAAGATCCGAATCAGATTTGAGTCCTAGGCTGAGAGCTGACCATCGTGAGTGATCCACATATATCCGTCGCCGGCAGTGAAGACGGAGAGACCATGCCTAACGGTTGAGATCTGAATCAAATTCGATTTTGTGATCTAAAAATCTCTTGAGCACTCAGATCTCTATGATTTCTGCTCCAATCAACACCTCTCTCTAAGATCTAAGTCAGATTCGATGGTGGTGAAGAAGGCTGGGATTTGGTAAGAAACGGAACCATTGTAAAAAACATTGCACTTCATTTTTCTTTGAAATTCCCTCACCGCTGTTCTTATCTGATTCTCATTCCTCATTCAATTTTTCTCAAATCTAATTTTTCACTTTGTTTTTATGTGTTCATACTACTGTATATACTACAATTTATTACAGGTCATTTTTGGAACATTAATATATGAAGTCTGTTTGGATCAATATGGATCAATATGCTGACCAATGTCATTGCATCATTTCTTCAAGTGCTTTTAGGTTTGTTGAGTGTATGGAACATTTCATTTCTTGGATATCCTGCAAGAGTGAGTGCATTATTTGCAACAAAGTCTGTTTGGGTTGCTATGTTCATATGTTCTCTGATAATCTCTTTTTAGTTGTTCTTCCACAACATTGAAACTTCTTGTATTTTTTCAGGCCATTTTACCTTATTCTCAAGCTTTGGAGAAGCTTGCCCCTCACATTCAACAGGCATGTGTCTATCTATGCCTTTGCTACTTTTGTGTAGTCTTGAAAGCTTATTGGAAAATGCTCTTACGCCTGCTAAACTACTTTAATTTAGATTAGCATGGAGAGTAATAGGAAAAGTGTTTCAATTGATGGCGTCCCTATGAGACTGGTGAAATTGATTTTGGTGAACCAGGAACAAATGGCCAGCATAGCTTTTACCAATTAATTCACTAGGTAACTTACGTGTTCTATTCCATATGTTGGTACATCAAATTGATAATGCCCATATAAGTTGGAAATTCTCCTACCTGAACTACTTTTACCATCCGATGCTTCTTTGAAGTTAAGGAATATTTATTGTCTGAGGCTGGCAAGTAGTTTGAGAATGTTTTTTTCCTCTGAACATATAGTGTTAACATTTTGACCATTTGTCAGAGGTGTTATATAGAACATGAATTACTTAATATCTGTGAAGAATACAGACCTGAATATCAGGTTCCTGCTGGTGAATGTATGTGCACTAGATTATGTTTGGCTTGTATACATTTTTCCGTGTTGTAAACTTTGTCCATATAACCCATCTTCTCGGAACTTATAGGGGCGAGTAATTCTTTGTGATTTTATTGGTGTTGTGAAGAGTCAGCAACCTGTGTACCTTAAAGGTACCTCATTCTTTTTTTTTCTTTTTTTCCCCCTCTCTTTATTGGGCACAATTTCCTATCTCAGTATTGCCAAAACAAGTTTACTTGAATGGCTTGGTAAAGGTGGTCTGTATCCATTACCAAATTTTCATTGAATTGTGTTGCAGGTGAAGTGGTGAGTAAACGCAATGAACTCATGTCTAACTCTTTTGCACAACCAGATGCTCTTGCTTACGGGAAGGTAAGATGGATGCTTTTCCATAACCTTGCTATTTTCCCCCATTGATACCTACTGTCAATTTTTTGTCCAGCCAATAGTTCTCTAAATTTCCATTTTGCTTTTGTGCAAAAAAAAAAAAAATATTAATAATACTAATAGTAATAATAAATGAAAAGAAGCAGCCGCAACCATCATAAAGAATTAAAACCGTGTAGCTGCGTCATGAGGTTTTTGACATTGTGAAATTTTTTTGTTTTAGTGTTGATTGTTTCTTTTTCCTTTTTTAATTGTGTGCATTCATATCTGGAAATCATAAGACTTTTTTTTCCCATTAATTTGCCTTGTGATTGCAACATCTGCCTAAAAGTGCTAGGATATTTAACTAGGGACAATTACTTGACAGTTGGGTCAGTGGAAAGAAATTACAAATTAATAAAAAAGTTTATGATATTGATTATTAATGTGTATAATGTTTTTCACTTT